CGAGTAACTGCAAACCTGTCTATCACCCTTCCTTCTCATCTGGTGTCATATCACCTCAGACGAATGGGTACTATCCATCTTGACCTGAGGCTACCGTATCCAATTCCACCAGAACCCCATTACTCCTGTTGTCGTCTCCACACCCCCTTCCCCACCTCTCCACAAGGGAGCCATCGAGCTGGTACCTCCTCATTCGCAGAGGAAAGGATTCTATTCCTGATATTTTATAGTTCCAAAGCGGGATGGAGGCGTTCGACCCATATTAGATCTAAGGGCACTGAACTGTTTTGTGACCTACCACCGTTTTTGCATGATGTCCCTGCAACAGATTATGCCGCTCCTCCGAAAACATGTCTGGATGGCCACCTCACCATCCACCCCTCCCACCGCCAATACCTACGCTTCGCAATTGGTCAACAGCATTACCAATATGCGGCCCTGCCATTCGGCCTGTCAAGCGCCCCGAGGGTCTTTACAAAGACTATGATTGTCGTTGCAGCTTTTCTCCATCTCAGGGGTATCTCCATCTACCCCTATATTGACGATTGGCTCCTGGTAGCGCCTTCAAAGAACACCCTGGTCTCAAACATCACCAAGACATTGGCACTATTAGAAAATTTAGGCCTCCAGGTCAATCATGAGAAGTCTCATTTGCGTCCAGTCCAAAGAATGCAGTACATCGGTACTATACTGGATTCCAAGACATGCATGGCTTACCTGCCACAAGACAGAGCGGCAGACATCATTTCCCTAACCAATGTCGTTCTTACCCAGCCTTCAGTCACAGCTTTCCAAATTCAGAGGCTTCTCGGCCTCATGGCTGCAACTACATCGGTCCTCGTCTTTGCCAGACCAAAGATACGTCGTCTACAACTGTGGTTCATCCGCAAGTATGTCCCAACGAAAAACACACATACTGTCGTCCTAACCCCTCCTCCCAACATACGAAACTCGTTACTTTGGTGGACTGTCCCTTCCAATCTCTTCCAAGGAGCACCTTTCCATCTTCCATCACCCCAAATCACCCTGACCACGGATGCTTCCCTGTCGGGCTGGGGTGTTCACATGATGGCCATGTGTGTGGGAGGCAAGTGGAACACCTATGACGTTTTCTTGATAGCCACTCACATTCCAGGATGCAGGGCTCAGTCTCCACGAGTGGGAAATGAACCCGACCTACCTCCTCCCACTCTTCCGCAGGTGGGGAGCTCCCTAAGTCGATGCTTTTGCCACCAGAGCAAAAAAAAAATGTCCTCTGTTTTGCAGCCGAGGAGGCAGGGACTCACAGTATCTGGGAGACGGTCGCCTTTATCCTTGGTCCAAGAACCTCGTTTACCTGTTCTTTCCCTTACCCATGCTTCTGAGAGTGGTCAGCAAAATCGTCAGAGACAGCGCGGACTGCGTATTGATAACCCCATGGTGGCCGAGGCAACCATGGTTTTCGACCGTCCTCGAATTATCAACAGGAATATACCACCAATTCCCTCCGGCACAGGTCCTCCTCTTCCTGTCTGACTCCCCTCTCCTACATCACGACGTACCACGCTTAAAATTGATAGCGTGGAGAATAACGTCAATGATTTTTCCACCCGCGTAGCAAACGTTCTACTGAACGCCAGAAAACCTACTACGCGAAGATCCTACCATAATAATTGGCAAAGGTTCTGTTCTTCCCTTGGTGATGAGGCCCCTCGAGCCACCTCCACAGGTCTCAAGAAAGTTTTCCAATTCCTCCTATCCCTCTCTGACTCGGGACTTTCCCACTTATCGTTACGTGTTTATTTGGCCGCCCTTTCGGCCTACCATGTTCGAGTTGATGGATGCACACTGTTTTCCCATCCGCTTTCAAAATGTTTTTTAAAATGTTTATTACATCTCTACCCTCCTGTCAAAACTCCTGTCGTTCCCTGGGACCTTCCTCTAGTTCTTCGCCAGCTCACGAGGAAACCCTTTGAGCCACTCACAACTTGCAATATGAAATGTCTGTCGTGGAAGATGGCCTTTCTGGTTGCTGTCACCTCTGCAAGGCGAGTTGGAGAAATACTGGCTTTCAGGCATGACACGTCATACTTGTCCTTTTTGCCAGACGGCATCTGCCTCGTACCTGACATCCTGTTCATGCCAAAGGTAGTGTCAGAATTCCACCTACAGGCAGAGGTCTTCCTCACGGATTTCTTCCCGGCTCCGACATCCTCAGAGGACAGACTGTTACACACCTTGTATGTGAAGCGTGTGCTCCTGTTCTGTCTGAACAGAACCCGCCCAGTGAGACGTGACTCCCAACTATTCGTCTCGTACGCACCATTAAGGCTGGGGACTCGCATCACGGCTCAGCGCCTCTCAAGGTGGATTGCGGCCATGGCCTGGCCCGATCAGGGCCCATTCAACTCGAGCTGTTGCAGCTTCCACTGCCTTCCTCCAGGGAGTGCCCCTGTCTGACATTTGAAAAGCCGCTACGTGGGCCACGCCTAACACCTTTATCAGGCACTACGCCCTAGACGTCCGCAAAAACTTTAATACCAACACGGGACGTTGTATTTTGCTAATAGTGAGGACAATATGTTTCAAGCAGAATTTTCCTGGATGCTGCACTGCAATGTATAATTTTGCAGGTTTCAGAGTGTCTTTAGCTGTCTTGGGTTTGATACCTGAAGTGGAATACAGTGAAAAGTCATCTTTAACAAACTGCAGTAACATCACTCTAGTAAGTGTTGAGACTTTCACTCTGCAAACTTCAGGCAATTTGCAGAAATTGTGTTGCTATTGATTTCTTTTTAGGGAAAAGTAACCTTGATCTCTCATGCAGGTTTAGTTCTGCAAACTTCAGGCAATTTGCAGAAATTGGGTTGCTATTGATTTCCTTTAGGGAAAAGTAACCTTGATCTCTTTAAAAATTAACGCATTATTCAGCTAGCTTTTTTTGAGATATATTTTGAGGTATGCAAAGGTTTCCCTGTTTTGCTGTTCTGGTTCTAGAGTTATCTGGCTCAAATGCCAGGGATGTTGTGTAAACACTGAGTTTGAGGCATAGATTAGTACTGCAGCTTGATCCTCTCCCTTTTTTTGATCATCTGTATGGAGATCAAAGATACTAAAATTACCTGGTACTAGTTTCATGTAAGCATACTCTCTGCGTGGTTGCTCTGCACCTTTGCTGTGGTCGACATGACTGTCTAATCTACTATGCTCACGTGACGTTTTCTTTTTAGCCTGTATTGCAGCAGGCTAGAGTGGGAGTAGATAGCATGCATGATACTGCTTGGTGCTCTGATGCATCTTGTTGGAGAGAGAAACCCAAGCATTTCTCTACTTAACATTTTCAGCCCTGGGACTTCAGAATTTGAAAATCTGCATGTAACAATAGTGCTGTAGTCTGGCTAAGATCCTAGATTTGAGATGGCAGCTGCCTTAAATCCCTCACACTGAAATAATGCTGGGGAATAAGGCAGTTGGGTAAGAAAAAAGTTACATTCATCACTCATCTGTAGATTAGATCTATCAAACATGCTTGCATATTGAAATGTTGGAATTACTGGGGTGGTGTGTGGAATCTGTCATGCTAAGGGTCGTATTGCAATATTATGCCAGCTGCAGTCCTTCATTTCCCTTATATCGAAACAAGATGGTGGTGAGTTCAGTTCCTGCTGGAGATGTTTATACAGTAATTGTCATTGGTCCTGTTGTCTGCTTTGGGTGCTGGATTAAGACACATTCTCACTTCTAACAGGCTTGGTAGTTAACCTTATAGAGCTTGTTTCAATGAGGCTAGTATGCTGCAAGCGGGTTGCTGTCAAAAGCTGTGTTCACCCTCTCGCAATGGATGGAATATGAAGGCTGCAGGCCTGATTGGCTGCTTTTCAGTAACTCATTTGCTGTTTCCTATTTTTGCTGCCCATTAAGCAGTACCTAGATAAGAACGTTTATTTTTCATTCTGGCAAACAGCTGAATCATATAGCTGCTTCCTATATTATTGCAGATTATACTGTCTTAGCTGTAGATAACTGGCAATGTTCCAAAGGATTGTGGAACCATGCTTCAGTCAACCTTTCAAGTCTGCTTTCATTCTGCTGCCTTTAGCTCCTCATCCCCCAAACTGGTATGCTTTGCTGTCCAGCACTTGTCTCTGTACTCCCTCCAACAATATACAGCTTCCCCCAGGACTCTGACCAATATGAGACTTTAATTCTTCCTGGCTGCTATATTTGGCTTCCCTGCAAAAGATTCCTTACTGGCAATCTCATTCTCTAGTAGATGCAATGGTCACAGACATTCAAGACATTTGATTCATTAACTTGGCTGTTAGGACCTAGGTCCCTCATTGTGATGTAGACTTCATCAAAAGCAGCTGCGGCGTTATAGAATAGATTATGTATAGTTATTTGGGCCAACCCTGAATTTTGCTAACATCTTTCCTACCACTGGGTTTTAAAAGCTGAACTGTTTGCTAAATGTGGGACAGCGGGCTCATATTTCCATTATTTTGTTGAAGAGTAACTCTTGAGTTCTGGTCACGGTAGGAATCACCATTGCTGGATGCACAGGAACAGATGTGGAACACACTTAAAAAACATCCAGTCAGAGCAGAACTAAAGTTGAGATGGCTATTAGTCTGTCATACAGAGCACTACAGATAACTAATGCTGGTATTTTTCTAAGCAGTTAACAGGTATTCTGAAATAGTAAAATATTTGAATGCAGGATGCTTAAGGTTTTGTAGCAAAACAGTTGAGTTTCTTGTGGTGAGACAAAAAGTTACCCCCTCCACCAGCTTTTGCTTTTCTCTTTCGGTGGTATTTAGTTATTTCCCTAACTAGCCTCCTTGGGCTTGAAGAGCCATTATGGGAACTTTTACCAGTAATGATTCCAAACCTGCAGGTTTCATGCTGTAATTGGGGACATAATAAATACCCAACTTGCACAGGGCTATTCAGTCCTAAGTTTTGAAAACCAGAAACATTTATATCCTGCATCTTAACTTCTGATTTCTGTCTCTGTCCAGCAAGTGCCCTTGAACTGTTCATCAGGACTCCGTTCTTGAACAATGACTTCTAGAAAGAAAGTGCTACTCAAAGTCATCATCCTCGGAGACTCGGGGTGAGTGCTGTCTGTACAGTATTAATAGCAATGGTTGTTGCAGTTGGATCACAGAGATCACTTGAGATGCATTTAATTGAGAATACTATAAGCTCCTCAGGAGCAGAGACCTGTATCTTGTACAGTAGTCCAGTGCACGATACTTGTTCCTCACTCCCCTCCCCTGTAACAAAGTTGGAAATGTAAACTTTTACTGAACTAAGATATCTGGGCCTGCAAAACTGCTTGCAAGATATGAATGGTCTCAAAACAGAAGAGGAGTTAGGAGATGAGACTAGCTCTCAAGTTAATAGGAAATGTTTTTCCTTATCCGAGATGGAAAACATTTAGCATCTAGGATACTGTCTATAGATAGAGGCTCAAATGATAAGACTAAACGTCTCAGAAAAGAGAAATCTAAAAACACGTTGTGGGAGAAACCTAGGACCATGTTTCTTATTTGCTGACCAAAAAGCTATGGTTGCAGGATAATGTTCTAGTACAAATGAGATGCAGCTGATACCCACAGTGCTAAATCAGCTGGTCAAGCATCCACTCTGTGAGTAAAATGGCTGAGTAAATTCATGTTCTTGGATAATCCCTCTGCCACACACCTCCAGAGCAGTGTTCACAAAGCTGTGCTCCTTGAAGTTGTAGAATGCGAAGTAGCTAGCTGCCTATTGCAGATGGGTTGTTACTTGTGTGGCAGTCCTGTTCTCAAGAAGAGCTGCTGGAAAAAGTTCCAGACTTGGCTGCCAGGGCTGTAATCTGACTCCAGCTCTGCACTTAATAAACAAATCTGATGTCATTGAAGAGGATGCTCTGGAGTACATGTGACCTTCTAGAATCTCTGGAGATCCGAGTTATCTGCAAGAGATACTTGTAGCATGAAGTCATGGTAGTGAAGTACTCAGTATTGCTGATAGATGTGCCACTTTAGATAAGTCTTGCTTCATTAGCAAACGGAGTGGCTTTGCAGCTGCATAGATGGTCACGAATGCAGCACAACTTGGTTGGGTTCTGCAAGGTGACCACAGTGAAGTACTTTTAAGGTCAAAGACCTGTGTCTGGCAGATGCAGTGCTCCCGCCAAGCAGTGGATGAGCAGCCTGACAATATTTCTAGGGGAAAAGCCCTTTGACCAGTTCTGCCTAATGATTTACCTTAGGGTAACTTTGACCCTAATTCCTCCTCTGCTTTTGATGGGTGAGTCAGTGGTTGGTACTGTCACAATTGGAGCTCAGAGTAAGGTTTAAGAATAGCTACGATGAAAAATGCTTCAGAATCTGAAACTTGGCTGCAGGATGTAGGCTTAGGCTAGCAGCATATTGTAAAAATGCAGTCAACATGATCTAAGTGTGTATCTTCTACAGGGTGGGGAAGACATCTCTAATGAACCAGTATGTGAACAAGAAGTTCAGTAACCAGTACAAAGCTACAATAGGAGCAGACTTCCTCACAAAGGAAGTGATGGTGGATGATAGGCTAGTCACAATGCAGGTAAGAACAAATACACGCCTCTGGTTCTGTCCATGTAGTCCAGAAGGGTCTACAAATTTTGACCAGCTTCAGTAGCCAGTCAGAACTAGTGCTTGCTATCATAAAACTGAATATGCTGGGTGCACATTAGAACAGGCTAGGATTTGCCTTTCCCTTTCTTCAGATGTGAGTTGAGGAGATTAAGTATTTGCCCTGCAGTTGCACTGTGCTTTGGAGGCACTCGGAGTAATGATACCTTCTCCAGGCTCCAGTGAAAGCAGTACTGCTTGCCACTAATGTGCTTACGTAATGATACCTTCTCCAGGCTCCAGTGAACAGCAGTACTGCTTGCCAGTGATGTGTTTACAAGTGTATTTGTGGACTTACATTGGCAAAAAAATGGGATGAAAATCTAAGCTGACTTCAAACATGCAAGACACCTTGGGCTGATTGGGGAAGTATAGGTTTTACAGCCTTGGGTGCTGTAAAACTCTGAAAGCATTGGTATTGCTGTAGAATCTTGTACATTTTGGCTTAGCTTACTGGCAGCACCACATTTCCTCTTGCCAGTACCCTGTCTCCTGAGTTCTGTGTGCACTAGAAGATGGACAGGAAGGTGGGTTTTTAGAATGGGTAGAAGCAGAGCCCCCGCCTCCCCTGCTCGAATTTGATCTGCCTTCTTTGGAGCTTGGCACACAAGGCTTCCACTTTCACAGAGTTCTCTAGGTTTCATTTGGGATCTATCCTGCATTTCTAGAGGGTACAGAAGGCCCTGGCAAGCAGATTTGTAGAACCCTGGAGAATATAGCCTTTGGTTTCAGCTATCATAGCTCCAGTTCAGAAGTAGGAGACTACTTCATTGCATATACTTGATCTTCCCCTAAAATAGGAGCCTGATAGGTGTCACTGTTCATGCCTCCAGAAAAAATGTTGAAGCTGATACATTCCCCCGCAGCAAGACTGGATGTGGTCCCATCCCTAAGTTGGTTTGTGTCCCTAAGCCTACATGTTCTGGTCTGTGCAGATATGGGATACGGCAGGACAGGAACGGTTTCAGTCTCTGGGAGTTGCCTTCTACAGAGGAGCGGACTGCTGCGTGCTGGTTTTCGATGTGACGGCCCCAAACACATTCAAAACTCTTGACAGCTGGCGAGATGAGTTCCTCATTCAAGCTAGTCCACGGGATCCTGAAAACTTTCCTTTCGTCGTGCTGGGAAACAAGATTGACCTAGAAAACAGACAAGTAAGATGGCAGATAATTCTGGCTTTCCCCTGGAATCCTTTTATCAAAAAAGAAATCTGAACTCATCATCCCTGAGTGGGTCTATGCTGTACAGTAACACAACATCTTTAGTATGGGTGACAACTCAGAGCAGAATTGTTGATAACAGGCAATTCAGGAGAATGTCTACAGTATGCTTTAACCTTGGAAGTGAGCACTTAAATGTGCAAGGTTGCCTAAGGACTTGTGCAAGATGCTAGGCTTCCCAGTTTGAGTCGTAATGGATTCTCCTGCTGCTTGATAATTGCATACAGATGGGCATTCGTTGGCATGTGTACATGCTGAATTCCAATCTGGTTCAGAGTGAAACGGTACTTAATGGATCCTGCCTTTGTTACAGGTTACCACAAAACGAGCACAAGCCTGGTGCTACAGCAAAAACAATATCCCTTACTTTGAAACCAGTGCCAAGGAGGCCATTAATGTGGAACAAGCTTTCCAGACAATTGCACGAAATGCACTTAAACAGGTATGACCAGTTGCTCTATCTAGTGCCCTCTTGTGGCAGTCCACACAATTCTATGCAAGATCAGGCTGGGTGCCGGCTAGGGACTGAGGCAGCGAGTAGCTTCAATAGGAACATTGCTGCCTCTGTACACAATTGTTAGTTTTGCCCTGGTGTAGTATCAAAACTCTTTGGCCAAAAATGCCATGTCCCTTATTTGCCTAGTTAAAAATGGGTTATTGTGGGCTCCAGGCAGTGTGACGGGCTTCATAGTATATCTTCAGCACTTGGAGAGCTTTTTGTTGGGTCTTGAGTATATGGCATGACCTGATGCACTGAGCATATAGCCCTGTTAATGCATCTTTAACAGAAAGTGACAATATGGTGAGGGCCATCTATCCTGGACAAGATCCCCGCTTCCTATAGGCCTCATACCTGGGTTTTTTTCGGGGAGGGTTATGATTGTTTTCGGGAATGGCACAGTGCTTCTACATCCTGTTGAGCTTGGACTGAATTGTAGTTGGTGACAGTTTCTTCTTGCTTGATAGGAAACCGAAGTGGAGCTTTACAACGAATTCCCTGAACCTATCAAACTAGACAAGAATGACCGAGCAAAGGCCTCCGCAGAGGGCTGCAGCTGCTGAGGTGGGGCTGGAGGGGTTGAGCACAGTCCTTCACAAATGGATATCACACTTAGGCCTTCAAACACACAGCCCCTCTTTTCTGTGTAAAAGGAAAACGAGAGATCCCACTTTCAGTGGCCAAAATCACCCCCTCTACCATGAGCGACTT